GGTTGACGCAACGCGGGAGGGGGTGCCGCAGACCACCATCCCGACGGCCGAGGTGCGGGGAGTGAGGGGCCGGTCGGAGCGGCGCGCTGCCATGGGCGTGAGCTCTCAGCAGCGAGGCATTTTGCAGCGTGCGGGGGCGAGGCCGCGGGGGTGCTGTGCTGGCGGCCGCGCAAAGCTCAGTCATACGTGCGCCTGCATGCGTGCCGTTTTGAAGCTCATGAGCAATCATCCAGGCGCTGCTAGTGCGTTGCCGGCCGGCGCCTCCTAACACCAAAACGCCGCGGCTCTCACACACTGGCAGGTGCGCGCCCTGCTGCTGGACCGCTCCCCACTCCTCACAGACCGCGCCGCCGCCGCGGCCCGCCGCCGGGCCCGCCCGCCGGGAGGGGCGCAGGAGGCCTGCCTCGGCGGCGGGGGGGCGGCCGGCGAGCGCGGTGCCGCGGTGGCAGGCGTGGTGGAGCCTTCAGATGCGGCCCAGGATTGGGGCATGGGCCGGCTGTTCGACCGGGTTTGGGTGACACCAGGCAGCGGCGGCAGTGCCGGTGGCGGCGCCGCGATGCTAGTGCCGTGCTGGGTGCCGCCTGAGATCTGCCGCGCCCTGCTGCTCCCGCCGGGCGCGGCGGCCGAGCATCTTGGCAAGGCCGCCGGACGGCGGCGGCGAGAGGAGGGGGGAGGCGGGGACGACGGGGACGGCGCGGGGCTGAAGCGGCGGCGGCGCGGTGAGGAGACGGGGCGGCAACCGGGCGTGGGACCGGAATCCCTGGGGGCAGACGCGGCCGCGGGTGCCTGGGAGCCGCCAGGGTATGAGGAGTCGCCGGCGTGGGAGGTGGAAGATAGGGAGGCCGCGGCGGCAGCAGCCCCCTTGGCCAGCGAGGAGCTGGTTTGCGGAATTGATGATGAGTTTGGAAGCCCAGGGGCGGCTGCATCAAGCGAGGGCGCGGCGGCGGCGGCAGCGGCGGCGGCGGCCGCAGCTGGCGCTCGCGCGGCGGCGCTCCAGGGCGCCGTGTTGCAAGCGCAGCGGGCGGCCGGCGGCGGCGGCGGCGGCGACGACGGCGACGGCGACGCTGAGTTGGCGCCGGTGGCGCTGGCCTCGCTGGCGCCCGGAAGGGGCGGGCGGCTGCCAGCGGCGCGGCTGTTTGCGGCGGCGCTTGAGGCACACGGGCAGGGGTTGGTGAGGCTGCAGCAGGCAGCGGGGGAGTTTGCGCCTGTGTATGTGTCGGCGGTGCGCGGCTAGACCTGTGTTGGGACTGGAGTGTGAGCACGCAGATGCACGCTGTGTTGCAGTTGCAACGTTGAATGGAATTGGTGCTATTTGTATGGCAAGTCATAGCTTTAGTTGGTAATTTTGCGTTCAGGTTAGCATATCTCCACATTGGGTTCGCAGCGGGTTTTGGTTTTCAAAGTGATGTTACAATCGCGGCCGGCGTCAAAAGGCTCGCATGCTTCGCGCCATAACGCCATGGAACGACAGCGGCCGCCGGTCGTGCAGAGCCGCCGTGCCCAGCTTGGCATTGGCGCAGCAGCGGCCCAGGTTGGCCGTGGGGGCGGGGGGGGGGGGTAAAGGGTGATTGTATTGGCGACTGGGTGCGCCTGCGTCTGATGCAAAAATTGCGCGGCTCCTGGGGTTGCCTGGCCGCTTCAGAGAACCCCTGCATTTGCTGCCTTGCGTGGCCTAGAACAACTGCTTGACAACCGCTGGTGGATGCCTGGTGGCTCCCGCACCACTGCCGAGCCAGCGGGCAGTTGTAATTAGTGATGCGGGGTGGTTCTCACTGGAGTGGGATGCAGCGCGCTCTGCTGTGTTCCGCTTCACAATGCAGTGCATCGCGGGCACGAGCGGCAACTGCGCGTCACCTAGTTACTGCCAGCCGTCGACGGCAGCGGGCGGTGATCAGCCTGGTGTGGGGCTGAAAAGCCATTTCCGAACCGTGTGCAGTTGGTTAGCTGCACAACAGGACTCCTTGAGAGGAACACGGGCCCGGGGGCCAAACATTCGCCATGATCTCTGACCTGTGGCCGAATATCCTGATCCCGACGGCCTCGGCCGTCGGCGTAATCTTTGCACTGATCCTGTGGAAGCGTGTGGCCAACATCAAGGTCGCGGGCGGCAGCGTGGTGTCCAGCCAGAACGGCCGGAGCTACCTGCTGGAGGAGGAGCAGAGGGGCGACGATGAGGTGAGGCATGAGGATATGTTGCCATGTATTCGAAACCACGGTGTCAGCGCGGCCACGTGGATGCAACCGTGTGATCCGCGCCAGATCAGCAGCACGGGCGGCTGGGCCAGGGACCGATTCACCCCAGTGCGACGCGCCGAACATGATTCTGGCAGTCTCGTTATAGTCGTGCGAGGCTTGGATGTAGGATCAGGTGCTGCCGCCGCTGCGCCTCCACGCCCACCGGGCCCCAACTGCGCTGCTGCCGCACGCACTTCACTCCTTCATCACGCCACCATGGGCGCCCCCCGTTCCCCCTTTCGCCACAGCCCTTGGCTAGCCCCGCGTGCAACTCCGTCTTTTCCACTTCCCACCATGCGAAACCGCCTTTCCCGCCGCGGCCCGTCATGACTCACCCCCTGCAGATCGTCCAGAAGGCCGCGGACATCCAGGAGGCCATCAGCGAGGGCTCCAACTCCTTCCTCTTCACCGAGTACAAGTACCTCGGCGTGTTCATGGTGGGCACCATCAACTCATATAACATTCTCTTGAGCAACCCATGCGCTCACCACGCCGTGTCCCTCTGCCCTATTTGAAACCCGGGCTGAATGTCGCAACCTCAGCAGTCAACAGCTGCATCCATAACCCATGCTGCCGCCGGCGCCACCTCAAGCATGACTCCCTTCCCGGCGTCGGCCCCAGCTGCGCAGCACGCCCCCCCTTCCTCCCCATGCCCCCACGTGCACCCCTCACACCCC